AATAATAATAATGATAATAATAATAATTGCACAGAAGCAATTCAATGTAAGAGAAGAGTTCGGTATTGATCCTCATTCCAAGTATTCTTGTGGTAGGACTACTTATGTAGGATTTTTATTTAAATAAGTGGGACGTCAATAGTATGGAAAAACTACTTCCGGGTCCAAAACTAAAAGCAGTTCTATAAAGATTTTTCTTCCGTTTTCTTCAGGACAGGATTTGCTGTCCAAAAATTCACGTCGAGGATAAATCTTTGAGAGCATTTTTCGATTTATTTTAACAGTAAATAGGAATCTTTAAAGGGGCACTTGGAAATAACTTGAATGACTTGAAACTTGTTTACACTTATCTATATGGCCCCAATGGTAGCCAAGGAACATATTTTCTTTACAGTAAAAAAGTGGCGGATAAAAATTATCAATTTTATTCAGCATATAAATTGCGAGTAAATGACTTTTTGCTTTTAAACCAAAATATCTCAATAGCAAGTGGCTCCAAGGCTAAAATTTCACTAATCATGTTTACATAGTCATAATCTAGTCATATTATCCTCAAATACTTCAATTATTTGGACCTTCAAAAATTGGGGCGTTTTCATCCAAGTGCCCCTTTAATGTTGGGTTTTAATTCTTGTTCAACTACCCTTAGTTAGATGGGAGTGTTAGATAAGGAACCACATTAAACGTCGGCTACTAAAGGCTTCTGGGTCAAGTTGGCGTTGCAGTGCACCGTGGGACTGTTTTTGGGACGAGAAAGACCATATGCTCTGTAATGCCAATTCGACCCAGTATTTTCCTCAACTTCCAAATGGAATCCCCACAGAGCAAAGAAAAAAACGTAAGTTCAGGTGCAACAAAAACCTTTGCGAAGAATGATTTTGTGTTCCTTTTGCTGTAGTTTAATTATATATAAATTAACGCATTCTCGAACTTCATGGTTTAATGAATTATAAATTCAACGAATGATAAGGGAACTCCCCCCAGGAGCAAACTTTATTTTAAAATAAAGATATTCATAAAGTAATGCAAAGGCTGTATTTGGTTCATATGTAGACTATTCGCACCACTAACAGGTGACGTGGCCCTACCCGCTGAAAAGGAGCAGCTCTGTTAGAATGACCAACGGAAATAAAAAGAGCACCTCAGCATTAGGAAGGCGGATTTTCAACTTATGATATGCGAAACCGCTATTATAAGGACTTGTATGGTAAAATGCTAGCTTGCCATCCAACGCTTTTACCTTACAAGTCTTTATAAAATATTCGATTTTATATTTAATGCAATTTCTTCTATGTTCGACATTATAAGCTGAAACTTCGCCTCCCTATTTATCGAGGTACTCCTTTCATTTCTCTTGTTCTTTTTGTTAGTGCGAGTCGTCTATTAGTGCACTATATCTGCGATACTCTTTTGAAGTATAGCATACATCAAAGTTGAAATAAACAAATAGTAATAATGAAGAAGACTGATGATAATGATGATGAAATGATGATGATGATGATAACGTTTTTTATATTAGGGACGGACCATTATATAATGATGGGGGGGGGGGGGGGGGGGGGGATCTGCTTAAATCCACCAAAACGTATCGAGCAAGCACTTCAAGATTTCAAGTTTTTTTCCACTTACAACAATATAAAATAATACATGAAAATACATAAGGGTAAATTATTATGGTGGTAGAGTGCAGGAATACAACCCAAAGAGTTAATGAAGAAGCTTCCTACACCCTAGTGTTATTTGGAAAAAATATGGTTGAAAGTAGCGGGGAAAAATGTGAATAAGTATAGTTTGAGAATTTAGAATGTTGAAAATTGATTACGAATAATCCATGATACACAAGTAAGCAAAATAAGTAGTATTAATGAGATAATAAAAAAAATTTATAACGTGTTTTAAACATCTTATGAGATGAGTTTGCAAACGATATCGCGGCTCCTTGGGCTCCCTGTGGTATCAACGAGGCTGAGCGCCAAATCCAAAATGGCGGCTTCCAGTGATTTTGAAAAAAGAGACAAAGTTTATCGTGTTCTGGAGTTTTACAGCGGTATAGGAGGCATGCACTATGCAGCTAAAGGCATGATAACTTTTGTAATGTTGGTATTTGTTTTCCAAAGAGCTAAACAGCTGACAAAATTTTACGTTTCTATTGATATTCTTGTATTTTTTCAGCCTGTGGTTTAAAAACAAACGTAGTCGCTGCTTTTGAAATCAATACTACGGCAAATTCTGTCTACAAACATAACTTTCCTGAAACCTCTTTGTGCCAACGGAACATCGAGGTTTGTGTAGATATTTCATGTGATCACATACGATCATATACCAATTTTAGTATAAGATGAGTTACAGCCATTCTCAATCACTCGCGTCGCTCTAGCGATTGTTTCTGTCGCGACGAAGAAGCTTTTGGTGGACGTCAATCAAGGCGTTTCCATGACATTCTATAGGCACGTGCCCATAAGCTTTGTGTTTTCCAACAATGTTATGGAAAGGCCTTGTGATTGACGTCCACCAAAACCTTCTTCGTCGCGACAGAAACATTCGCTAGCCCATGAAGCCAAAGGCTCTTAGACTATCCAGGCTGTTGGTCAGCCAGGTTGCCTGATGTTGGTCATGTTCTGTCCTTTTGTTTGCTTGGGAAGGAACTGGAATGTACATGATAAATGGATGGCTGTCCAAATCTGGCACGTTGTCCAGTCAAATGCCTCTTTAATAGGCTGGTCTTCTTGACCAGTTACATTGTCTGGTCACTCAATCAGTCTTGTGTTTGAGCAGTCATCATGTCTTAACATAGGCATTCAGCAGTCAATTTTAACCCTACCTGATGAAATATTAAGCAGGCTCAGCCCTGATGGAATCCTTTGCTAAATATGCCCCTTTTCCCTCCCCCTCCTCCTTGCCAGTCTCACTCCAAATTTCAACCCCATGATTGAGTGCCACTATGCAGGCTAGTAAATTTTCTATAATACATACCAGTGATGAATAAAAATTTTCTTTTCAGGGCCTTTCTACAAGTGACCTTGATAAAATGAATGCTGATGTAATATTGATGTCTCCTCCTTGTCAACCATTTACCAGGTAATAACTGTTTATATTATATAATTAGCAATGAAATATCTATTTTTGTTTATATAATAAACAATTTACTAGCTTTTCAACTATTAGCTTGCATAGCAGCTCTCTTGTTCAGGGGTTGAGGGAGGGGGACCATTATAGACACTGTTTCTTGTTAATCCGCTGAATCACAAGTTTTGGAGATAGATTCTTCATGCTTGACAGCACATGGTGCTCAGTGTTTGACCACCATTTGGAGCAGTTTAGGTAATTCAAAAACTTTTAAGAGCAGATTGAAACCCAGTAATTCTTTCTGGCTGACAGTACATGGTGGTCAGTGTTTGACCACCATATTGTGAAGCAGATAATGAGATTCTAAGACTTTTATCAGCTGAGTGAAACCCAGCTATGGAATATTTAATATGCTTGATTGGTCAATGTTTTTTATTGTTTATAAGGGTTGGTCTCAAAGGTGCTTCAAGTGATCCTAGATGTAAGAGTTTTCTACACATTTTGGATTTAATCTCAAAGTAAGAATAACTAAAAAAATCTTTTTATTGCAATCAGGTTCCATGATTTGTAATTTTTTTGTCTCATATTTCTTTATAATGAATTCATAGATTATCACACCCACCTGATTATATTCTGATGGAAAATGTAAAAGGATTTGAGGAATCTGACACCAGGTATGTACCATGTACCATAATGCGATAGCTGATAACTTCCTGTGTCCCTTCATGTTACAGACGTCAGCTACCTGGGGTAGTCTTGGGGTGCAAGTTGCTTTCCGTTACTGCAATTTTCATAAACGTGTGAACTTTCTGTCTGCAAGCTGTACTCTGAAATTTGTCTTTTTAGCTGCTGTCAATCAAACTTAATCAGTTGGTACCTTTCATATTTTTGACTGGCGGTGCCCAGCAAAAACCAAATTTCAGTGTGCAGCTCGCAAACAGAGTTTGCATGTTTATGAACATTGCAGTAAGTTGAGCCAATCGGTCCAAGCAGCCAGTTACAATAGTATATGTACCAGTTCTTAGAACCACAACCATTTATTTGTACCAGCTTTTTAAAATTAGGAAACTGATAATGATCTGGACCAATGAGGGCCAAACCAGTTCTAAAAACTATTGGTACCATTTGAGAAATGGCCGCTCGGACTGATCAGCAACCTAATGGAAAACGCACTGACAGGTCATGTGACGCTACCTCGTCTAAATGAGCAGTTGTGTCAAAATGAACGATAAGAGGATCTCTATATTAGTAGGGAGGCAGAGTTTCAGCTCACAACAAGCAAAATAGAAGTAATGGCATTAACTAGATATAACCCTGTATAAGGTGGACATAAAAGATCCACTGAAGAAGCTGGTGATGACCATAATCAGTGCCCGTGCTAAACAGGGCCCACTGTAATTGGCTATGCTGTTGTGGTGTCCCTGCCCTCATGGGAAAAAATATCATAAATCATAAATCAGATATGAAACTAAATGTTTCATAAGGATTTGTAAGAGCTGAAACTTTGCCCTTGTACTAATAATCAAGGTGCAGCTCTCCTTATTTCTGATGTTCATTTTGTCACAACTGCTAGTTTTAAGGGGGTATACTTGTTAGTGCAAGTTATCATTGAAGCCACATTGATTTCAAAAAATATTCCTAGCTCTAAGGTTTGTGGTGTTGTGAAGTACAATACTTACAATCATGTACATGTATGCTTCTATGTATGCTTTTATGGATTTTTCAGGGAACAGTTCATTAACACATTGAAAGAAAAAGATTATACATATCAGGTAATGCATGTCTACATGCATTTCATATTCACAGTATAATAGCATGGACCAAGCTATACATGGAATGATAATGGATACTTAATGTAATTGGATTATGAACCAATCTATGCTGATGGCAAGCAAGGCCTGGCAATAAGTGCATAAAAACAAGGTCATCAAAGAATCAGTTTTGATCAACTGAAACATGTTGATTGACAAGTCTGCTTACTGTTGACCAATGATAGACTGCTAACAACTGGCTGAGGATTGTCAAGATGTTTGGCTGGTCATGGAGTACACAAATATTGAATGTTGCTCATATACTGTATTGCCACCCCACATGCTGCAAATTCTTTGTTGTAACAAATAATTCAAAAATTAAAGTAATTAAAACAGAGGGCAGAAAAAGAGGCCGAATATAATCATTTATTGATTTGATATTACCTCATGATTTTCAGAAAAACTAGTAATGGATGTTATTTATTTACTTGCAGGAATTCTTGTTATCACCAAATCAGGTAAAAAAACATTAACATTTAGTTACTGGAATGTTGTTTTAAGAATTCATGTTCACATTCAATAACACATTTTTCTAATACCTCTGTCAGTTTGGCATTCCCAACTCAAGGCTTCGATATTACATGCTGGCAAAACGAAAGCCACATCAGTTTTATTTCAGTACTCAGCCAGAGCAGGTAATTATTAACTTAATAATATTGATTGGGAATGCGGGATGGCCATAGAGATGAGAAAAGGGTGGTGGTGATGGTGAAGATTGTGATTTTTGTGGTGCTGGTTACAGTAGATGGCATCAGTGATGGTGATGGATATGATAATGGTGCTGATGATGCATGATGATGAAATTGATGATGATAGTTGTGATGGTGATGCATGATGATGAGGTATCGGTGATGGTGATGGATATGATAATGGTGCTGATGATGCATGATGAAGATGATGATGATAGTTGTGTTGGTCGTGCATAATGATGATGGTGATGAAGATGATGGTGGTGATGATAATGAAGACAATGGTAGTGGTGATTGTGATGATGAAGATGATGTTGATGATGTCAATGATGATAATGATGATGAGATTGAAAATATTATGATGAAGATGTTGATGTGGTCATGGTGTACGTGTGCTAATGGTGATCTTTTACTTCTTTACAATATACTATTGAAGAAAATTTGTATATATTGAATATATGCTTTTATGATATACTTCTATACCTTAATTTCAGGTTATAAATCAAATTCCACCTGTAAAGAATATAAAGTTGAGTAATGGTAATCACCAATCTGCTTGCTCAAGCTGCAATAACACAACAGATGTAAAACATAGCAATCTGTGCAAAGATAACAGCGATTCTCTCTCTACAAGTGACAATAATCATGTACCTCAGTCTTTAGAAAATAAACAGGCTTGTACTTGTCCTTCGTCAACAGTATGCAAGCCTGATCAATCTGAGTCGACAGTATTGAATCAACTTGGAGTGAATAACAGAACTGAAGATAACAGTCGTAATGAATGGACTTCATCTCAAAATGTTGATAGGAAAAAACTGACTCTTTTAGAATATTTGGAAAAAGGGGAAAGCGAGGAATGTTTTAGCCAATTTCTCTTGCCTGAAAAAGTGCTGAGTCGATTTGCACTTGTGCTTGGTAAGTAATAATTCTAGATTAGTATTAATCATAACCTTCATCATATACATTGTTCATGATCTTGATCCTCATCATCAATGTTCCTCATCATCATCATCAATCATCATCATTATCATGTTCATCATCATCATCATCAGTCATCATCATCATCTATATCATCATTATCCTCATAAAAAATAAAAAAATAAAAAAACTACACAATTCGGTAGGGTAACTAGAATTACACATAGTGATTTTCATCTAGACCCTTCTACTGTAGATCAAATTAGAATTTAGAAGTTACATTGTAAGTTTTGCAGAGGGAGGAAAACCCGAGGATTGAACCCGTGTCACATTGGTAAGAGGCGAGCACTTTCTCCGCTATGCCACCCATACTTCCCCATTATCATAATCATTATCATCATCATCATTTACAGTGTACATCATCATTATCGTCATCATCATTATCATAACTTTACATAGATTTAGTCTGGTCCCATCATAAGGGAGGTATATGAGTGCATGATATAATATCTTGAGCTATAAGGGATTTGTACAAATTACCTACTAAGGAAGACTTACTTTGGTTTAGATAAATGTACTGTTATTTTCTAGATATCGTCACTCCCGCATCCACTCACTCCTGTTGTTTCACCAAAGCGTAAGTTTAAAGGAATGATTTCATGTTTAAGCAGCACTTCTTAATTACACATGCAAAAATCATAAGCAGATATTTGAATTTCTGTTTCTTAATTTAAAAAATTGGTCAGATCCGGAAACATTTACTTAATAATAATAATAATGGGAGGTTCTTGTATAGCGCATTTATACAACGTCTCAATGCACTTTACATTAATGACCAGTGGAGGACTTTACGGGCTGCATATTAAGGCGCTAGTAGCAGCCGTGCAGCTTACAATTTCATGAGTGATTTTGTTAGTACATTAGCGTTATGTCTCCAGACAGGGGTGGGCTGTTGAACCGGGAGACAATCCCCTACTCTTAACGAATAATTCAACAGGTACTTTTATGTCCCCCATTTTTTTGCAGGTTAGGAAGGGTTGGGAGACAGGGCCTACGGTTTAAAGTCCTTATCCGAGTCCTTACTTGCAAATGTTTGCTAGTAGATAGTTTTTTATCTAAAGCAAAGTCAAGAAAAGCACCAGCACTTGGCTAGTTGCTATTGCTTATTTCGATCCCTGTTATTCGTGTTAAGATTTGCTTAATATATGCCTTTATTATATAGTTAGGATAGTATGCGCGAGCTGATTGGTCAAAAACTGTGCTTTGTAAGTGAATGGAGCACAGTGCTGACGCCATCCGCGCGCGCTGATAGATCCTGCGACCGCCTTTCGTTTTGCGTAAATAAGTTAAATACCGAAATAAAATTATCAACTATATAGTTAAACGAATAAAACAACTTTTTCCGTTCTCCGTTCAGTGATCAAGAAGTATGATCTTCGCCTACGGCTCGTGCATCTCCTTACGACTTCTTTCGTGCTTATGTCACTTCCTGCGTGCTTTATTACTGAACGGAGCACGGAAAAAGTTGTTTTATTTGTTAATTATAAAATAACTGCTCTAATTCTCGCGTTCTGATTGGTCGGGAGCGTGCTTTAAGAGAGCATATAGCACGCGCGCGCATTTTCAGTTTCGTAATTTATGTAATTTGTATTTTATAAAAGAAATAAAAAACTTGCTTGCTGTGCTGTGTGCAGTTATAAAGCACTTGGGGATTGGCAAAACGCTCGAGAAGTCTCCTACTTCTCTCGTGTTCTGCCAACCATTGCGTGCTTTATAACTGCACACAGCACGAGCGCGCGTTTTCTATTTCTTCAGTAAGTTAATCACATAATGTGCTTTTACATTGAACCACAGATATGGCCATTATGCAGAAGGCACAGGATCTGTTCTCAGAACTGCTGATATAGATGTAAGTACTATAGGCCTTTTCTGAGTTAAACATGATAAACATGATGCATTGTGGTCTAGCTTGGGTACAAATAATACCATATAATGCATATAATGAACAAGAGATGTTTGTACTTAAGCTAGACCACAATGCATCATGTCTGCTATCTTAGAAAAGTCAAAAAAATCAAGAATGAAATTCTTTAAAATTGCAATAAATCCCTACATTGTACATAGCCCCCCACATTCAGTCAGTGTATTTCTTCTATTGCTTAAGCCGCCTGGTATCTTACTTGCGATGGAGTCTGAATCGGAAGCAGTTCATGCATAAAATTGCAAGCGAATAAAAAACTGCCCGTCATCATGTACACGTTAGTGCAAAAGCGAAAGTCGAAAAAAAAAAGAAACCTTTCGATTCCAATGCATTTCTGGCTCCGATTCCGACTTTGTTTTCTGTTTACACTTGGTCATAACTAAAGATACTCCTGATTCCGGGTCCGACTCTGATTCCACGTGCCCATCCCATAATACTGCTTGGGCTTCCTGTGGTTAAATGGCAGAACAATAACGTCCCTTTGCTCTCGGGAATTTGATTCTTTCTAATGTAAAACATAGTTAATCGAGTCCCCTCGATTAACTATGTGTAAAACGACTGTATTGTTCCTGTCATCTAACATGGCTGCCTTCACATGATGGTGAAAAAACCTCTATTGATTTTGTTGTTGTTACAGGACACAGCGATATTCAATGAATACAGAGCACTTGGGACAGAAGCCAGTGATTCACAGAGAGCTGCAGTTTTATCTGATCTAAGATTAAGATATTTTACCCCAAGAGAAGTGGCAAATATCATGAAATTTCCAAAATCATTTGGTAAGCAAAATAAGGAAGTTCCAAGAACCTCTCCAGGTTCTCTAATTATTAATTCTCTAGAAACATCAATCAACACTACTAAATTCACATTGAACACAGTGACCCAAAAATACTTCTGGGTACCTCTCCAGTATCTCTCTTTTTTTTTTAGAAACATCACTTCAAAATTCACATCGAACACAGTGACCCAAAAATACTGTACTTCTGGGTACCTCTCCAGGCTCTCTATATATCTTTTCTATAAACATCAATATACTTCTAAATTCACAATGAACGAGATATTCCTGTTTCTCTGAGGCCACGTACGCATTAATGCGTTTTCGAAACGCTCCGTTTATGGTTCACCAAAAACGCATAGAAGCGTTTTCATCGCGTTTTTTATCTGCCCAAACTAAAGACATCAAAAACGCAGATGTTATCAAAAATGGTGTAATAACGTCATCTGCGCAGATAGATAGATAATCTTTATTTGACCACGGGCAATTCATCAGCTATGTTWAAAAAATGCGAAAAACAGACGTGCCGGTGTATACGAAGTCAGCGTTTTCAAAAGTCTCCGAGTTTTCGCTGTCACAGACAAATATGATAGGCCTCCGGCGTTTTCAAACGTCACTACTCTGGAGAGCGTTTTCAAATGAACGCGTTTTGGATAAAAACGCTCAGCGTCTTCGAGCGTTTTAGTACAGGTGCAAGGTCAAATGACATCGAAAAGTTGTATGCGTTTTCCAGCGAAAACGCATTAATGTGGATGCCCATCATTGAATGCGTCTTTCGTTTAAAGAAGGCGTAAAGTTCAATGTGTTTTAGCCTTGCGTTCACACTAGAACGTTTGAACAGCTCTCCAGAGTGGAGACATTTGAAAACGGAGGCCTATCGTATTAGTATAAACGGCGAAAACGGAGGCCAGTCTTCATATAATGACCGGCATTTTTGTTTTTCGCTTGCGCAGGTGACGATATTGAATGATTTCTAATTGTTGCCCAGAGCCAAAGCTCTGCGAGTTTAGTGTGGAAGCTAAACTTTCTAAGCGGTTTTGGATGGAGTGTTACGAAAACGCATTAGTATAGACGTTGTCTAAATTTAAATTAAATGTTTGTTTAAACCTCAAATATCTTTTATCTTAGGTTTTCCACAAGACATTTCTGTGAAGCAGCGATATCGCCTCCTTGGTAACAGCCTTAATGTGCATGTTGTGACTGAACTATTGAAGTGCTTGTTCCGTTGAGGAGCCCGAGATTTTAGAGGGCTAGCGGTTTAAAACCTCCAATAGACCCTCACCCCAATGACGTTTCATACCTAAACTACCACAGTCCTTTTTAAAACATATTTTCATATTTTATTGTTACAATTCTTTTGAGAATACGAATAAGGTGTTTGTTTCTTGAAATTTTTAATATAAAATCGAAGACTGGTATACTCAAGAGTCACATTTTCGAGAATGAAAGTAAAGCAAACTGGGAGTCCTCGTACATGTTCAACTAATTGAATACCTCCGCTYTAAGTGAGTCTGGTTGGACATTTAATTGACACATTGGGAAATGGGAAAACATTACGCGTGAGCTAAGGAGGTCTATTAAGCAGGTTTGTCCTAAGGAAAAAATATTTGATGGCTCAGACTTTAAACCACTGAATACTCAGCTCAGGACTTCTGGGTTATTAGTAGACTGCGAGCTCTATTTTCATTTCGTCCTTCCCTCCCCAGCCCCCTCCCCCAGGGACTTTGACTCGTAACCAATCTTCCTTGGACAGACGGACAGTGACCAAGGTAAATAGAGGGACTGCTCACAGTCTAGGGTTATTAGTTGCTTAATATACGTACTACAAAATTAATATACGTACTACAAAACAATATTTCACCATCTCCTAATATCAAAGCATCCTTTATTACCGGTAGTAGTTATCACAAAAATATAAAATAAATAAAATTTCTACTGTAAGTAATTTATTCTTGAGTGTCATTAGCAACCAGTGCATACCTGAAAAACATAAAACTAATATTAATATGATTACTGCGGTTTTCAATATTCTGCAACCCCAGACATCTCAACGACTTGATGTGAAATTGGTTTTTCACTGCTGCCAATCAAAATCATACAAGGTACCRACTGATTATTTTTGATTGATGAACAGCGAAAACCAAATTTCAAGTTAAGAATGATTTGAGCTGGAAATTTCACTAATTCATTTTACCGAGTAAAATGTAATTGTTTTTTTTTTTGTGTTTACTGGCCCTCTGCAGGAAATAATTATGGGATTATTACTGAATGGCATAAAAAAATCAGATTTCCTTAAGGCACGATTACACGGAGCAATTTTCTCTTGCAAGAGTGTTTACGCAGTGCAACTGAGATGCAAACAATTGCTGCAACTTTTCTCACAACATTTTTTTAAAAAATTGCGCAGTAGGTTACACGCTGCAATGCTCCATGCAACTTGTGTCGCAACGCTCTTTCAGAAAAGTTGCAGAGAAAATTTCTCTAGTATGTAATCCCGACTTTAATCTAAAAGAACTTTTGCGCATGACAGTTATGACCAGTAGGGAGTATTACAGTAGGCATTTTATTGCTTAATTTCAGTTGTAGATTACTTACATATTGACTTTGTAGATTTCTTTTGGGAAATTGGATTGAGTTTCTCTCTTCAAAACTGTCATATTGGCCCTCTCAAACAGCTTTGCAAAATGTTGATGAGATCTGATACAAAGAAAAACGAATGAATCAATGTATGAATGAAATGAGAGAATCTAAAATTCTTTTATTGAGGAAGGGAGGAAAAGCTGGGTGATTGGCAGTAAACTTTTTAAAAATGGTTTTAACCCTCAGCGTTTCACTCAGTAAGAAACTGATACTAGGGTAAGCATAAGTCACAATCGCCTTGGAGACAACCCGATATTACAGACACCTTGATATTGTAGACAGGAGCAAAATCTCGGGAAAAATACTGGCAAAAGTGCTACAGATTCTCATTATTACTATAATTATTATGGACACACCAGGTGATGATGCTGAGGGTATCCACTGTAAAGAGAGTTGACTGTAGATTTGTACATCTTGATATGGATTGCCTCACCTTGTTACGCTACTGTCTACTGCATCTATATCATAATCCTGCCTGGTGACAATGTTTTCTTTTATGCACACTATCCCTCCCTCAGCCAAGCCTTTTTTACATCGATTAAGAAATTCTATGAAGTCATCTGTAAAGAAAATATATTCTTTGGTTTTCAAGAATTGTCGAATCAAAAATTGAACATCTATCTTTATAATAATTAATTAAATTTGGAATTTTAAAGTTCATTAGGATAAATTTTTTTATGGAATAGTCATTGATAGTAATAACTAAGAATAACTGGTCATAATCCAGCTTTTACCAATAGGACTCCAAGCTCGGCCTACTGCTTCGTCCAATTTCGACAGTGCTTGGAATTTTCATCATCCAAATACTTCTTAATTGGACAGCATGGAGTCCTATTACATTTAATAATTGTATCATCACTCTATAATCCCACATAAGCAACTATTGTATTATTTTTAAATTTTCTTTCCTGTCCAAATTAAAGACTAATTTGGATCATTTCCATTCGCATTCTTTCGATCAGTCTAGTATAGCTTGGAATGATATAATTAGTCTGCAATAGGACTACATGTCTGTCCAATTTGGAAATAATTGAATTCAAAAAATTCAACTGACTGCCAAATTGGACTTGACCTATCGGCCTCTACCAATTTTGTCAGTCCTCGGAATTTTCTTCATCCAATTATTTCCAAATTGGCACGTAGTCCTATTACCTATACTTCTTAATTGGAAAGCATGTAGTCCTATTACATATGATACATATACTAATAACTAACCATCAGTCAAATGCCCCATAACCCACTGACACCAAATCACATCATATCGGCCTGGCTCTGGGTCAAACTCCTTAAAATTATATAAAAAATAGCACTGTCAGTATTTTAGACAATGTGTTGAAGTACTTACATGTTAGGTGTTAATAAATTGGTCTGGCACATGATGAAAGAAGGACAAATGAACATGGTTTGCAGGGTAAAAAGATGAGTGATGTCTAGGGAAGATCCAGGGGTGGTGGATTGCCTGACTCGTCAACCCCACCCCTCCCCCCATGAGCTTCCTGAGGATAGGTCCTAATCTCAATTTCCGAGCCCCCATTTTGACCAAATCCCATAGTCCCAGCCTGTTTTTCTCAAATCTCAATCCCATATTTGATCAATTTTCTCCGTTTGTAAATCCCATTCCCAGTGCATAAAATCCCATTTTTCAAAATCCCACCTCATATTTTACCCCTTCAGGACTTTCTAACTCAACTAACGTTCAGATTAAATCAGAATCTAGCTTTTTTCTCTCCTTTTTTTGGAGGGAGGAAATGTGGAAAACCCATCAAGAAAAATCCTTAGGAGAGATTAACAAACTCTACTTTTATGTGAGGCAGGAACCAAACCCAATTAAAACCCAAGGGGGGAGGGGTGAGGGTACTACTGCTGTATACATTGTTTATTCAAACGGCAATAAGAATAAGGAATAATGAAAAACAAAAAATTAAAAAACAGCCCTATCATTGAAATCACCCTGAATTTGGCAAATTTACATGATTCTTGAAATACCTGAAGTCCAATAGGATAAAGATTCTCTATTTTACTTCTTAGATCACCCTAAATTGAAGAAAAAAATTATTAAGCCAGGTATTTTACCTGTGACAGATTTGGAGTAAAATTCCTTTGGCTTGTGTTTACGTTTATGATGATTGGTTTTCACTTGGCAATAAATTAAACACACAGACATTTCTGGCTCTAATTCCATTGTGAAAACCAAGCTTTTAAGGTAGTCAAGAATGTATATCTTAATTATTTTAAAAGTTGATTGGGCTTTCTGTATGTAATGTGGTCCACAGGTAGCCCACACAACACTAAAAAAAGTTTTTCGCAAGTGTGCATTTCAGCACGTTTTCTAAGAATTTTGAAGACTTTGAGGGAGAATAAAATGTTTGTTTTCTCCAAGTATACAAAAAAGTTCACGAGTATACTTATGTCAGACCAAGATACTGTATTTCTAAACACAATATGAAAGAATTAACCTTAAGTTTCAAGTATGGGCACTACTTTTTGGCATTTTGTGAAGTCCAAATAATTATTATCAGGCATGTTTGAAAGTTAAATTTAAATTTTTGCACAGATGATTATCCACTCATGTCAGCTCAAACACAGTACATGAGAAATAATAAAATTACAGTATGCAAAATTTAAAACACAATTAAAGAAAAAGATGTTTTCTTGTCTAGTGAACACATACCATGTATTCATCACAATGGTCTAAGAAATCCTTGTTCTGCTCTAACATGTCAACTTTGTCAAACAGAGGAATGAGCAGTTGCTTAGTAACCCGACCAATACCAGCACCACAGTCTAGTGAATAAATAAAAGTGAAGTCTGAAGTCAGAACCATGAATTACAAACAGGCTGTGTTTACCCATATTAGATAATATTATTGGTTAATAGTTACCTAATGCAACTCTCGATTGTGTTCTGGGTTGGTCGCTTTCTGTCTTTTGCTTTTTCACTTGTGGTTCCTAAATATAAAAAATTATTCTTTGAGCAAAAACTCATGACAAATTATGATTCAGAATTTATACCTTTTTTCCAGAGAGATTGTGATCAATGAGGTTGACAATATTTTTTAAATTTGTGCATTATTGTGTTTCCATGAAGAAATAGAAAATGCGCACGTGTGCTGTGTGCAGTCATAAAGCATGCAGGGGTTGGCAGAGCATGAGAAAAGTGTTAGGAGAAGCATGACGTGTAGCAGAGTGCTTCTCGACACTTCTTGAATGTTCTGCCAATCCCCAAGTGCTTTATGACTGCACACAGCACAGCAAACAAGTTTTTTATTTCTTTTATAATACAAATTACAGGAATGACAAAACTGAAAGTGTGCACGCTTTCTCACTGCTGTTTGCTCTCATGAAGCATGTAATGTGCATTCAACCAATCAGAATGTGAGATTTCTAACAGTTATTTTATAATTCATGTTATTTTACAGTAATGTGTAGTCCCAGAAATTATCCATATCCCTCCCCCCCAGAAATTCCAATTTTCTTTCAAACAAACTCAGTCTGTAATTTTCGTTCTTTCTCTGAGCCCCCACCCTTTGCAAATTCCAAATTCCTCTGTGGGGTGGGATGGATAATTTCTGGAACTACACAATGCTCTTTTTTTAATTAGACATATTGTTTGTTATGTAGTTTGCCCCAAGAGAAAAAACTCACTGGAGAAACTCACTGTACTTATAATGGTGAGCAAAAAATATCTACATGTTTCATCAAATGTGAAAATTACCAAAAATTGTTTCAGAAACTTTTTTGATCCATCAATATCGGCACTGGAAATATGAGCAAAACCTCCAAGCATACCATTGTCTGTGGCAGGAATCTCCTGTAAAGTGAGGGAAAAATTATTCAGTGACTTGAAAAATAAAAACTTAGTATTGACTGGTCACATAATGGCCAGTCATGTCGTTCTGATATATTTCGCCAATGAACAGCTATTTCAAACTTTTAATTATATTACCTCCACCTTAGAGCTTAAAAGAACAGCCAGACATCGCACAATGTCTGCCCACAATGTGTAGTTTCAGAAAAGAAAAGTATGCATGCCCACAAGTAGGCTTCAGTCGGCATAATTTTTATTTTTAACTTCCTTCCTTCCCCCGATCCCCCCCCCCNCCCCCACACCCTCCCTTGTAACCATAAAAATATTGACAACGATTACTTACCTTCCAATAATCTATCGCATCTCCGTACCATTTATTCTTATTTTTCATTTCTTCCGGCATGCTTTTAGTCACTTCATCATCATTCTTTTCCATGGCTGCTTATAATATCATGACATTGATATTAGTTAGCTTTATACTGAAGCATTTCAACACGTGCAAACTTAATTTGTGTGTCACGTCTGGCCCCCAAAAAACAAGCAAAAATAACACAAGTTTTTAACGATCTTCGGGAAAAGCTTACCTCCAGTTCAGGACAAAGGTGGTTTTCTTTATTGAATAGTACTTTTTTCAAGCCAAAGCGAAAGTTTATTACGAGAATAAACTGAATTCAACTCACTCCCGTGAGGATCACCCCATCCACCATCTTTAGCTTTGCGCCACTTGCGCTTTCTGCTTTACTAAACAGCGGTCTCATATTGCACAGGGATCCCACAAATTCACAAATTACCATGGTCGTCACGCAACGCTCTCGGAGGGGGTTGTGCCCGTGGGGGTAATCCCATCATATGGACTCATACGGGGTTGATCCGCTGAACAGGGTATGGTTTTTCGAGCTTCTTGTCATAAACAGGGTATGCAATTTCACTCAAGTTCCAAGTTCTTCCTGAGTTTCCTGTCATATTCAGGGTTTCTACTTTCGTATTGACCGAAACTGGTTATTATGGTCGTAAAAAAACGATATGCGAGATGAAATGATAATTGAAACAGGAACTCAGTGCAATTAATTATATCTCTTGTCATAAACAGGGTCTACAAATTTGAGTTTTTTTATCATAAACAGGGTACCCTTTTCAGAATCCCAGCGGAACACTCCTACCCAAATTCTGGCGGAGTACCCCCCCAGCCCCCCGGGGGCTGTGGAGCTATGTTGAGCTTCCATATTTAACATTTCGTCACACTTAGATCATTGAAATTTCTTGTTTCCTTTTACTTTATTATATTACTATTAATTAATATCATAATTATACAATATCTGATATTTTGCAATCAATTTTTTTGTTAACTCTAATGGTCATAATGTCACAAACTTTAGTCCACACTATATGGCTGTAATTTTCATATTGCACATTAATGGTAGTGGAGTAGTTTGCAATAACCCAAAACATACACTTTAGCATGTTTAGTACTATTACTATTTAGTACTAGTAGAGTACAAACACTAAAAGTGTGCAACACTTTGCACTATTTAGTAGTAAATAGTGCTAATTAAACAATAGAAAACAATAGGATTAGCATAATTTAGCAGTATTTAGTGGTATTTATGTTACACACTTATAGTGTTTGTACTCTAGCACTGTTTTCTATTGTTCATCCGACTACTACACCTTAATTAGTACACTTGGTTTCACTGGTTAATGAATGCTGCTCTAATGATTATACTTTATGTCTGGTCAATGCTTGTCAATCCTAGTACTTGGCCACTGTGAACCAAAACACTATTACTAACATTTACAATGATCCTAGCAGGAATATGTTTTCTTTCTTTCTATAAAAACAATATTTATATTATTTGTACATCTAAATTGGTAATAATCCAAACTAATACAGAGTAATGCAGCCAAATAATATTAGCTGGTCACACATCTTGGATTCCTGTCATACAGTACCTAGTGAAAAAGATGTTCATCTTTTGTTTAACCGGACATCATTGGTCCATTAATTTTATATACAGATTCAGAGAGCAGATATTGTTATATCTTGTGAAAAAAAACAATATGTAATAATATTAATATAATAATTTGTATTTTCAATACGCATAAAAACATAAATCAATAAGTTTTCACAGACTTGTAGCTACTTCTTTTCTTTTTGAAAGAGTTTAGGAAATGCCTAAACCAAAATTCAAGGCTTTATTTGCACTTGCAGACTTTGTTGTGTGATGCTTTTAAGTAGCATTTAGTGTACTACAGAAGTGCACTGAGTCTCAGTATATCTAATTATGCTTATCTTCCTAATATGCAGCTAGGTGGCTATCCTGACCAACCTGTATCATACGGTAAAGTGTTGGAAAGTGGTTGATAATGTAATGGTAAGGTGTCAGGAAGTTGTTGGTTGACCATTTACCAATGCCTGTGTGTTGCAGGTTAGATCCAATTGCCCAGCCGGCCAAGGCTTAAACATATTCAAAACAGCAATAGACTCCTTGCAGTATGTTGGAATGCAGCTCAACATAACAATAGGTGTCCAATTCTCAGGAGATGGAAATTCCTTTGTTTTGTCCTCCAAATTGAGCTGCTTTGATGTCAGATGCAAAGGGTCTATACATGAAGTCTAAACTGTTCTAGATCTGACTTGTAGGTTTGTGTCATAGCTCATAAAAACAAATGTCTCTTCAACAAGGTGACCTTTAATCTGTGTATTGGACCATTAAACATTTAAGCAACATCATGGGATGTTAAAGGATGTTAATTTTGCTCCACTCGACCACCAAAGAAATCCCATCAATCCTTCTTTACGCTTCACAATGGCCATCCAGGAGATCCTAAACTTGCTTTGGAAGAGTAAAATGTCAGTGTTTATGCCTATAAAAACCTCTTGCGGTATTTCTTTATTTGTTCTTGAACTTGATAAGTCATCCCTTTTTCCTCTTTCTCTTTAAATTCACTTGGATTACCCTTGAATACTGCAGGTATTAATCCAAGAAGTAAGAGAGCCAGTGCCTGTACTACAGAATTTGCAGCTTGGAACTCAACCAATGACATCACAAAGAAAAAAACTAACATCAAGTAAATAAAAATCACTAATAAACTCAGGATCTTGGCAAGCAAAACTCTTTTAAATGGAAGTAGCTCATTTAAAACCATAAGGAAAAGCTTCAGAGATATGTTTGGGATGTTTTGCTCATCATAGAAGACAAGAATGACCACGGATTTGGTTGATTTTTGAAGGGAGCTTGTTGAAGAGGTCCTTTCTGACATGCCGGTTTGACCACTGAATGTTTCTCTGATGCTTGCTTCTGCTCTGAGCTCATTATCATGGGCTTCACACTCTTTGAAAATGATACCCTTGAGTCTTTTGAGTTTGAAATGGAATCTCTGAATTGCCTTTGCAATGTAGTACAAAGCAAGGGCAATAACCACAACATAGGAAATATATGCATCAATGTAGAATATCACCCCCATGGTAGTGAAGCCGATTACGCTGCCGAGGAATACAATGTTGATGCTAATTTCTAAAATCAGCATGAAATAAGATGCTTCCACGCAGATACAAAACACTATAAACAGTATATAAAGTGCTGGCAGTGAAATTAGTCTTACAGAGACAGGGATAGATTGGCAGCATGTACAGTTAGGTTCCAATTTGAAAAGCATCTTCCATATACGGAATGCAACATAGGTAACCGGCAACAAGTAAAGAAAGAAGGCACTAATGATTAGAACTACCCAAACTGGAAAAACGAGCAATAGTAAAATTGTGCGAAGTAATTTACTACATGTTCCAGATTTATTTTCTTCAATGAGTTCTTCATGGTGGTCTTCTGGTTCTTCATCAAGATTGCTCTCACTGACCACTGTCTTTGACCATCCAAGAGGATAAATCATGACTGAAAACACAAACTTCCAAAATGAGTACATCATCAGACAATTCAGATGGAATACCATGTTCTCATACATGAGCTGGAATCCACGCTTGTCTGAGTGGCAGATGAGCTCAGGTGGTTTCTTGAAACCAAGAAAGCTTTGCTCATCTTTCCTTCCTGACAGTCGTCTTGCAAGGTCTGAAAGAGTTTTTGGGATTGCCATGGAAATTGCCACCAGTAAAATACAGAAGCAATAGACTGCCATCACGACATATTTCCCCGTCGGAGCTAGGAGAGTCAAAAAAGCACTTCCAACTCCTAAAAGTTGGTTTGAAATCCCAACTTCTGACTTCTTTAGGAATTGATATAATAATGTCTGAAGAATAGGAAGTAGACTCAAAAGAATAACAAACAAACAGCGACTGATTCTGGAACAAGTTGTTGATTCTGTCCTGGTCCTTACTATATCAAGTAGACCACTGTCTTTAGAAATCATGACTTGACGACCATTGTTCAGCACTGCTGCTTCAAACCCCTCATAGGACGAGCAAGAATCAGACTTCTTCATACCCCGACAACTTGATCTTTTAAGTCTACCCCCTTTCTTGAACTCCTTCGGCAGGTAATTCAAAAGCAAAGGTGAAAGCAGACCAAATGAAAATGAAATGGCCCACAAGAATGTAAGTGCATATTTCACCCACTTATTATCTTTGATTGGAGCATTACAAATGACACTGCCATTTCTGATTTGATGACAGCAATTATACCCATGATCTTCAACTACACTAGACAGCCCGCCAACTTTCTGACAAACAGTGCCCATTTTAATGTCAGCCATAATATTGTTCAAAATCATCTTCGCGATCTCATCTTGTAAACAGTTTGAGCTTAGCTTCAAGTAGCAATCCGAAGGCGTGGAGTTTACTTTCAACGTTAGATCATAGACATCTTTAGTTAGCGTAGTAAGGGAAAGAATATCGAAGTCGTATGGCAAAGTTGCAAGAAACTTCGCCTTTCTGTTTCGTAACCATGCCCACTTTTCTTTCTTCTGTAGCGACAATGGAAAGACTTTTCCATTCCCTTCTCCTTTTCCATCATCTACATCTTCGGTATCGTTGGTAAGAGTGACATACATGAAGACTGCAAGAGCTTCTTTGTCGAGTATAAGTGCCAGGAAATCATCAATGTCTGATTGTTTTATGTTCAGTGAACACGTCTCGTTGGTGCTGTTGCACAATGATGAACTAAAAAATTCATCATTTTGAGCTCTTGATCTCTCGATATCCCGAAATTTTATACTCGCATTAGGCTTATTAGGTACCAAGCGACTTGCATTTCCAAGGGTAGTAGTAAGAACGAGGACTATAACGATGAAAAACCACTTTTTTAAGGCTAAATGTCCTTTTATGTTTCGTGCCCCCATTTCTTCCTGTCTGTTCTTCTGTATGAACTTCCTAGTAAACACGTGATGCACTCACTTGCTGTCACGCCATAGTGACTTTGATTGGGGTAGGGTAGGGAAGGAATTGTCAAAAACAATACAGTTAGAATATACTTGTGCGAACTATAATTCAAATTTCGTAAACTAAGATTTAATTTGTTTAATTACTTGATACTTAATTTCAAAAAAACTTGTTCAATGGTTAAATAGAATAACAATTTTCAATACAACAATTTTCAACCCACCCCTCCCTATAGGAAATATAGTTGCAGACAGTTTCAGAGCATGAGGAACGTGGGCCTGGGTACGAGATTGTATCAGAGCAAATGATACTCTTCCTGGAGGGGACAGGATTTACAAGTTTGTACCGAAATTACCCCTTCAAGATGGAGTATTTTTTATATAGCAAGTCCAAAATTACGTTATCTTATGATAAACTGTTTACAGATACAAGTTTTTTTTTAAATTTAATGCTTAGTCAATCTGGGCTGCAATCAAGCTGAAATATTTTATTAGTCCCTACGGGGTCCTAGAGGGGAATATCATTTACAAGTCTAGTCTCGTCACAGTCTCCTTCCGTTTACTCGTGGCTTGGTTCGAGGATCGCTTTGTTTCATCAACTAAACATTTTTACTCAGGTGTTGTTGTTTTTTATATCAAACTATCCTTAGTATTATTACAGTAATTCAAAATTTCGGTAAAGTTATTATTGTACAAGATGGCTGGTAGTTTAACTGGGCAACAAATCGATGGGCTGTTTGTAAATTAATGAACCATGGAAGCTTAACCAATTTAGTTATCATTTGCAAGATCCTTAAGCTTTACAGATTTAAGCATATTTATTGATCCACATGGCGTTTTTATGGATTTTCAGACCTCTTCTTCGACTCTACTTCAGACATAAACGATTGTTTCTTTTAACTGTAGCTGTCGTTGTAATTTTTTCGGCGTTTTTTCCTTTTCCAGTAAGGAAACCTCTTTCGTCAGTACAGTCGGTCATGTCTAACATTATTTCTAATCCTTTGGGAAGTGCCCGTGATAAGGCAACGGTAAAGAAGACTGATATTTATATTCCTGAACACGAGTTCCATTTTGATGACGTCAAAGACAACTCATTGAGTTTATTTGGCAGTTCACAGTGTTTGCTGCTAGATTTGGATCCATTCAACGAAGAAGTTACAAAGAATCAGAAAGATCTAGGAGAACTCAAGTGTTCAGGTCCGGAGGCTACAAAACTTGAGGGAGGAGTGCTGTCTGTTAAAGGTACTGGCCTACAAGAAGTTACCTATCAAGCCATCCAACCTTCGGAAGATCCAAAGGCTAGTTTTGTCCTTGGTGATCGGATGGCAGTTATAACAGCTCAAGTGCAGTTAACTCCTGGTAGGTATTTACAGCCCCTATCCATTCCTCCATCCCCCCCCCCCCTAACTTCCCCTGCTATTTAAGGAGTTTATACCCATATTACCCCCTTTTTAAAAAGGGCTTTCTTATATAAAGTCATTCCTTTTTATGACAACAGTTTATCATAGGAAGACAATGAAAACCCTCTAGTAATGTTTTTATCCTTTGAAGACAGGTATATTAGTTGTTTATGGGTGAGGATCTTGCATTGCCAAATCCAAGAGGGAAAGCAATAGCATTAAAGTGAATTTGTAACAAGACCTTACCAAACACAGGCATCTCAATTTAGAAAGAAAATGCAATCTCTAATGTGATCCTTATAGAGGTTTTGCACCACTGCGTGACGGCAGCCATGTTAGATGGCAGGACTACAGTCATTTTACATGATAAAGAATTCTATTCCCAAGAGCAAAGGRATTTTATTGTTCTGCCATCTAACCACAGGAAGCCCAAGCAGTATTATGGGATGGGCACGTGATGATGCAAAACCCTTATTGGCTAATTGTGTGGTACCTCACTTATTCATTCATTCTCTCATTCATTAATTCATCCATCCATTCCAATTCATCCATTCCCATTTGTTTGCTCATTTATTGCAGGTGGTTCTGACTCCATTGCCCATTTTCTTGGAAAATGTATCCATTCTTATGGAGGAAACATCAGGCCTGGATCGCAATTAGTTCTATATGACTTATGTGGGGAAGATCGATTAGAGTTTACACTAGAAGAAGATGGCACTCTCAGACACAAGATGTCTGGATACTGTGTTGGGCCAAAAGCAGAAATAGCTCAGTCTAACAAGCCTCTTACTATAACAGACAGATGTGATGACTCCACTAAGTTCAAGGGGCTAGAGAATGGGTTTCTTCAGCACATGTCAAGTGAAATGTGTGTTCATTTTCAATCCTTGGACTTGGATCCACCTAACGATGTGCCATTAGTGTTTTATGCTGACTGTAAGGAAAACTGGAAGATGAGATTTGGATGGGCTTCAGATTTCAAGAAAGGTATGTAGCTCACGTCTTTATTCCTTTTCACAGCAGCTTTGGTAGTTTGCATGTATGAGAAGTCACTGAATTTGCATAATCACTGCAGCTCTGACAATTAGACCCACACTTCTAATATTATTATAATGTATATTAGTACTGTCTTGCTGTAGTCCCTCCCCTGACCTGCTGTTGGTTTCCTTGGTTTTCTTTATTGAATTTTGATCCATTGCACTTCTAATATTTAAGTATTGTCTTGATGTACTCCCTCCCCTGACCTGTATTTGCTCTCCATAGTTTTCCTTATTCATGACAGCCATTGTTTACAAATGCTTCTATTCTCAGAATAAGCATGATGCTGGCTTCTTGAAAAGTCCATAGAGTAGTGCATTTCATAGCGTTATGGCTAAAGGTCCATTGAGTTTGTTTTTTGATGTGTTGTTCTCTCCTTTGCCTTGAGGTATTATTCTAGGTAGTAGAGAGTTTTAGATTGACTTTTTTTCTCCCCACAAACGGCAAACGTGACCACGTTTTCATAGTTTTCCAGTATTTTACTTTACTGTTTACAAACCTTCTCACCAAGCGCAAATACTCTTTTGTTTTTCTACTACTTGGACTTTTTTGCGATTCTTTTTCAGTCATTTAAGAGAATTTTTTACTGGTCAACTGACGTTTCACGTTTGCTGTGAATGTAAATCTAAAACTCTCTAGTGTGCTTTTCCTTTCTTAAAACACAGCTATAGCACAGTGATGCTGATTCTTTGTCTTTTTTGTTTTGTTTTTGTACTCTGGTTTTCACACTGTCATGAACGGATCAAGTCCACTTGGTTAATGTTTTTTTCATTTCAGAGCAAGTGTCATTCGCTTGAGAATAAGAGTCTTGGTTTGAGTCGTGCCAATATTTATATGTCTTCTTATGCACAACCATTAAGCAAAGAAATAATACTCTAGGGAATGACACTGGTCAGAAATCGGAAAACATAAAATTTGTCTTTAAGAGGATTAATTGTGGTCCATTTCACCATGCTCAAAAAATAATTGGTTATTCTCCATTTACAGGTAAAAACAAGAAGACAGACATCAACACAGATGTATCAGATGATTTTATTCAAGTCAGTGTCCAGTATGCAGATGCCTTACCAAGTCAACAACACATGGAATACCATCTTCAAGTATCTCCAAAGTTTTCTCTACAGGAACCCAAGGATGCTCATCTGAAACCCAACATGTTAATCTTAATACTCAATTCCGTATCCTTTGCTCACTTCAGAAGAAAGTTGCCCAAGACTTATGCTTATCTCAATCAACTCGCTGGTACTGTGTTCTTTAAAGGGTTCAGTGTTTTTGATGACAGCTCCAAGTCTCAGTTGGCTGCAATGTTGTCTGGTATTACACCTAATAATATTGCTAGTCATAACAGTTTCGATGAACTGCCTTGGATTCATACTCTTCACAAGGAGCAAGGATATGCAACACTTTTTTCTGAGGACCTACCTTGTTCTGCACAGTACAAAGATACTCTGTGTGGGTTCTCGAAATCACCAACAGATCATTTTGCCCTTCCGTTTTGGTCAGCAGTCCACCAGTAAGTTGTTTCCTTTAAAGTATAAATACCATTGACTGTATTTCGTTTTCTCTGAAGATAACTTGAGCTCAGGTTGTCGAAATGTCAGTCACCACCACCAACAACAGTCTTTCTCAAGACTACACTAACCCCGGATGATCACACTTCATGACAAACATGTTACCTTTTCCTATTCTATTTCATTTTCCAACTATTTCAATTCACAGGTGGCCCAAGCTCCTGATTTTTTTCATTCAGAATTACTACATGTTTATAGTGGTAAACCTTGCCTTCCCCTTACATTTTTATTTAGGGGGAGGGGGTGGGGGTAAATTACTGAGTAAAACATCTACCACACACCCATATCACCTTAGGCATAATGTTTTCCCATTCCAGACCACGTGTCATTCCCTAAARTATTATTTCTTTGTTAAACGTTTGCACAACTCGAACGAAAAATCTTATTCTCAAGAAAATGACGTGGTCTGAAATGGAAAAACTCTCGGAGAGAACCATATATGGAGCGTGGGCTTCCTGTGGGCTTGAAGGATAATGTTATTAGTTCAACTTAGTTTAATGTTTCAAGAGTATAACTAACCATTGTGTTTTTTGATTTTATGCAGAACGTACAGTCGAGGGCAGAACACATTTTGTCTGGGTCAGAAAGCTATCCACAACATCACTTTCAGCTACTTGCGCGACTTCATGACAATCTACACCAAGCTCCCCAAACTAGCCATTGCTATGCTTTCAGAGCTCTCCTCATGGAACCCCAACGGTCTGGGATACATGGATAAGGACTTCGCTCGGTTSTTAGCTTGGTTAAAGGTGGAAGGACATCTGGACCATACGATGATAACTATTGTCAGTGAACATGGATCGAGAAGCGAACTTCTAAGAAAGACCCTTCAAGGAAAACTCGAGGAACGCAATCCATACCTCTCTATAACCTTACCTCCGAAAGCTCCCAAGGTTTTATTAGATGCTATTCCGAATCTCAAAGAAAATTCCAAAGGGCTTGTGACTCCATATGATTTATATTCTACCTTAAGGAGTGCGGTGCCTAGCATTCCGCGTCGTGCTGGAGGTATGGGCGCCAACTTACTGGAACCAATCCCCGACACTTCCAAACGTTCTTGTGAAGACCTGGGAATTCCCAAGCAGTGGTGTCCATGTTTGTCAGTTCACAAGATTGATGCAAACATAAAAGTTCTCCAAAACGCCGCCCGTAAAGTCCTCCAACACGTGAATAAAGGTATATCCGAGGATCCCAAAATGGCAGACGTTTGTCAAAAATTAGAATTCTCAAAAATCAAAGCAGCGACTACGCTTACTCCTAATAATGAAGTTCTGAAGTTTAAGTGGTCAAAAGATGCGGGACATTGTACTAACTGTGAGCCGGTTTATGGTGCCAAGACCAAAAGTATGTTTTATGTGCTCTACGTCGAAGCGAAGCAGGGAGTGACGATAAGAGCAATCGTGAATATTTCAAATGGAAAAGAATACATCCATCCACACGTGGTGTCGTCACAGACTTCCAAGATGACATCATGTTGGGCTACTGAAAAAGGAAAATATAGTCAGGCATGGAAAATGTGTGCCTGTAAATAAATTATCCGTCACCTCAGGCCGGTCGCTATGACGTTTTCTGGCAGTACCTGTCAGATATTTGCATCTCGTCATATTGTCAGATGACCGTTTAATTACCCTTTCTTATGCGTAATATCAGTTTGAGAAATAAGCCGTTTGCATAACAGCATTATTTGCTATCACTAGCAGAATCTCTTCAACACTTTATTGTGTGTTCCCGTTACTTAGGCTGCGTTTACATGGTACCGGACAAATATATTAATTTTTTATTCTTACGCCTAACCATGCAAATTTCGATACAGTTCCGTGTAAACAGAAGGTATTTGCAATACAATTAAAGAGACGGTTCCGTGTAAACGGTATTTACAGATCAACTGATTATTGGTCGGTTAAAAATTCGTCCGTTACCGTGTAAACGCAGGCTTAATTACCACCAAAAATAAAAGAGCAAATAAAAGCTTTTGAGAAAATTCGCTAAGCATTCTGGTAGTTGTAGTTAAATAACGCTATCGTACAAACGTCCTATTTATTGAAATAAGTGCCTTTGGCAAACAAGGAATCTTAGCCTTATTAACAGACCGTTTTCTCAAGGTTGCGTGCGCATCCAACTTGACGGGCCACAAAACTGAAAAACGCAAATTCAGTAAAATTGAGAAGACAGTTTTATATTTAAAGAGGAGAATATAAATTGATTTTATGAATTCTTATCTTTAAAAAAATCATAGCAATGCATGAGAATCCTCATGTTCTGGTATCGTGGCCTAAGGTTGCGTGCGCATCCTTAAATTTGGATGCGACGCAACCTTGAGAAAGCGGTCAATAAGCCTGAAGCGAGATGACGTTTTACCCCCGTCTCTAGACCATAATCCTTTTCACACTGCTTTTGTTCTTTAATCGTGACTATTGTTCCCGTATTCTCTAAGGAATCAAAAACTTTAATATGAAAGAATTTTAGAAACTATTATGGTATAGAGGGGGGGGGGGGTAAAACGTCATCTCGCTTCAGGCTTATTGAAAATCTGCGACAGTTTGTGTTACGTTTCACTATCTTTGTGTGCTAACAATGAAACTGCAGTGAATGAAACGGATTCATCATTGAAGCCGGAGAAAGTGACGTTTGGACCTTTTTTATATTTGTTTCAGAGCCACATCCAACCTTTTTACATGTTTAGTAGTGTACATTCCTTCTTTCGAGCATAAATTGACACTTGGCCACGATTTTGATTGATATAACTAAAAATAAATAAATAAATAAACAAAAGATAACAAATCTTTAAGGGGCACTAGCTGAGATCGATCTGAAATCCGATCTAAAGACAAACGTGCCAAGTGTGAACGGTTCTAAGCGAACCGCGATCGGTCCGTGATTGATGCAATTCGTCAATTATAGCGAGCGACCATTAAATTGCTTTGTTTTGACAATAGTGTAACTAGTAAAAGTAGTACGCAAAAGGATCGACAATTACATCACTAAATTTATTTATTAAATTTACTGAATTTATGTTGCACGATATTTTTAGTGTTTGGTCGATATTTCTTTTCTGGAAGGAGAGATTGAGCGATATATATTTTTTCCTAGGTGAAATGTTTTCTCATATTTTTAGGGGATTTGCGCAACTACCCCCCCACGTCAATAATCTAATGGTCGGCAAAAAACACAAATACACGCATATTGTGATTGTCTGTTTTGTATATTTGGACATGCTTGGGCAATGGACCCTTCTGATACATCGAGAATAGACCGTCTAGATCTATTGTGCAAGATTTTTTCTTCTCTATTCACTAAAAAAGGATCATACTCCCATGCAGACATCGAGTGCTGAACCGTCGTATGGCAGCGCAAAGCATTTATGGCTACGCCGGAGATCCCGACACCGCTATCCCTGGATTTACAGACTGATCAGGAACTCGGCCGAAGCCTAACTTGATTGTGAATCTGAAGGCTTTGAACGCATTCTCACTCCTTTCCATGTGGGATGCGTTTAGTAAAACTAAACAGAATGTGCATCATAGTAAATTTGATCTTCAAAGCGTATAATTATCTGGTATGGAAATAGGATTTTTGGATTTTTATTTAAAGCGAATAGTTGAATGATGAAATATTTCTTCATTTGAATGTTGCGTCTTTAAGTTATGAAGGTTTATACTTCCACTATGTTACTCTGACTGTGACGTCACCCCAGGCTTCATTAAATATACAAATTTTGACTGGTTCATAACAGTTTWTAAAAAGAATCAATACTGAAAGTATTGTATCAGGGGTTAGGTGCACTTTAAAAAAGGAACATACTTCCAGATATCGAGTGCTGAACAGCTGTAGCTACGCCGGAGATTTTCGGCTTACGTAAGTCCCTTTTTGCAACGTCATCGCGGGAATTCTACATTACCCATGAACCCTTTCGCCCTCCCAGACAACAACACAAGAATCCAAGATGGCGACTTTGGGCGAGAAAGAAGAAGACAGGGGCAGTTCAAGCTCCAGTGGAAGCCGTTCAAGCTGGTATTTAGTCCAGGTATTAATATATTCCCCTTCCTATGATGTAGCTCTGTGAATACATTTATATTTTTTGTGTTTATGTCAAATTTTTAGTTCCAGCCAGTCTTGTTTACAAATTGAAAATTGGTTGAATATTATTATGTGTCTCTGACACGTCTTTACTTTACATTGTTATTCCTTTACTCTACATTCACTTGTACTGCTGTGATTCACATCTTAAATATCATTATATATATATGTATTTTATTTCGATCGCATTGGCAATAGAATGGAATAATATTTTTGGGGAAAATATAAACTCAAAAGATTCCAAAATTACCCATCACTTTTTATTCACTTATTAATAAACAAAAGGCTTATTCTCGTTTGTTTTCGTTTTGCACTAAGCTTTATTTATACATTGTCAAAATATTTCTCTATAGGATATATTATAGACTATATATTTATTAAAGGAAACTAAAGAAATTATATAATTAAATTGTTGAGTAATATTGTTGCATAATAATTAAATATTTTCTGGAAGTAGTATGAGCTTAAATATTAAAATTTATTAGTACATGTAGCTCACAACTTGCATTCACCTTTCCCATTTGTGGGTAATAATGAAACATGAATAGGAATCTAATAGTAGAAGAGTTTTAAAGCAGAAAAGAAATTTTTTGTTTACTGTATAATGACTAGTTTTCTATAGTTCACTTTCCTTCGTTGAAGTGCAACCCACGAAGTTCAATATCTTGTTCGCTGACTAGCATTTCATGGACAGYCAATCAAAGAATTGAAATAAAAAACAATATCTTGTGAGAGATTTTAGACTGATTAAAGATCTTAATCCTGTAATCCTCTAAAATCCAGAAATAATTGTTTAGATTGGTCACCATATTTGGATTCAGTGTGTATGGATTATTAATTTGTTCTGTAATCCTTGTATATCTATAGGATACATCATCAACTGTGATTGATATTGGAGATTCTGATGATCTACAATCTGAAGGAAATGGTGTTATATCACTTGAAAGGTAAGGCAGATAAAGCCAAAGAAACTCCTAAGAAAATTAGAATCTGTGTAAAATTAGCCTGCGTAGTGGCCCTCTGGTTGGGTGGATTGGGAAATCTTTTCTAAAATTGTCTTTGAATACTATCAACAGTTCTACCAGTAATTGTGGACTTTTTCCTTTATTCGTTGCCTCAATACATCCACACATTAATTCATCTATCAAACTGTCCATCAATCCTTTCATTCTAACTTTCTTTAAGGGTAGTGCAGTGGTAAAACTTTGGTCTTTCACCACTATGACTCTCAGGTCCGGTCACTGGTTTGTGGTTCTGCAGACACCATATATTAATTAATAGAGTTTGTTCAATGTGTTCTCTCCCTTGCCATGAAGGTTTTTTCTCAGGGTTGCCTAGTTGTGTGCTTACACTGTAATATTAATGTAGTGGTACTATAGTGAGCGGGAGAGGGTTGTAGCCTCTGACTAGTGAGACATGGCAACGACTCCCACTATCACAACATAAAATAAAAAGATATTTTATTCTTTTATTTATGCTTTCATTAAATCATTCTTTTGTTCGTTCATTCGATCAATTGATCGTTTGTGTGTGTGTGCATTCATGCGTGGCTGCATGGTGCATTCTTTGGTTCATTCATTTATTTTTAAGCATTAAGTGCATATGCTTATGTTGATTTACATCTGTTATAGCCCTGCAGAAGGCAGTCCAAAGAAGCAAGGCATTTCAGAAAAGGAATTCATGGAAAGAATACAGGAACGAATGGCTTCTGAAGTTAGTGGATATGTAAGTCATGGGAATTATATATTAATGTTAAATATGGAACTTGGAACTTCCTTTGTGCTTTATTACTGAATGGAGCACAGTAAAAGTTGTTTTATTCGTTAACTAAATTTTTCTTTTGAAAAATAACTGCATTATATTGTAAAAGATTCATTGGTTCATAGGTTGAATAAGATATTAATAAAATATGAAGGCTTTGGTCTATGTTATCCTGCAAATCCATTACAATTTTTTCTCCCTTTGAAAACAGGTGTGGCAAGCTGGAACCAAGTCTGCTAAGAGAGCTTTTGATTTGTATGCCAATATTGATATCTTACGGCCATACTTTGATGTGGAACCAGCAGATGTCAGAAACAGGTAAGGAACATAGATGCAGTTAATACTGTATGTACTCATTAGTCAAGTAACTATCAAGAAGAGAGAAATGAATTGCAAAATCAGCTTGACCTATCTATGCCTTGTTAACCCCACAATGATTTTGTAATTGTGTGTATCTTAAAAGAGATGTAGAATTGGTGTTGCAAAACACTATAATTGCTAACCCTCTTAAGTTTGTATTTTTTAAGTTTGTATTGTACGTCATTGTACGTCTAAAACTTAAAGTGCTTATCATCCTTTGCACCATATTTTCAGAAGTGATTCTTTATAGATAGTGGATAGTACATTGATTGTGAAAATATTTCATCATTTGAATGTCGGGTCTTTAAGATACGAAGGTTTTTATTCCCAATATGTTAATGACTATGACGTAACATAAGGGATCATTTAATATACAACACTGCACTCGTTCTGGAATACATTATTTTAAAAGCATCACCCTCCTACTCGTGACTCACGTAAAGGTTCTTACAAATTTGTTTTCAAAAAATGTCCAGCGTTCAATATTAAAAGTTGCCACAAAATAACTCAAATCCCTCATGTTACATCATAGTCATTAACATATTGGAAATATAAACCTTCGTATCTCAAAGACCCGACATTCAAATGACRAATTATTTTCACAATCAACTATTCACTATTTAAAGACTCAATTCTGAAAATATTGTGTAAAGGCTTATAAGCACTCTAAACTCTGAGACTTTTAACTTATTAGGATATTTTTTTGCAATTCCCATAGATCCCTTACTTGTCATCCTTCTTAAGACAGCTTCCAAGAGCAGGTGCTGCCCCACAGACCTACCAATATATATAGTTATTTATGTATTATATCAATTATTTATATCAATAAATTATCTGATAATATTATGTATTACTTTCCATAGGCTTCTCTATTCACTGATACCTAAGTTCCCTTCAGTAACATCCCCTCAGGTAAATGAACACTTTTCATGCTGAACATTAAGTAAAATACCATTCAGTTATAATGTCTTCATTATGCCTGCTACAATTTGCAAGCAACTGTGAAGTGTGACCTGACAAACTTGTTTTTATAAGTTTATATCTCAGAAATTTGCAAGGTAAAAGTTTGCAAGCTTCAAATGCAAATCTTTATAGATGGTTGTGAATGGCACTATCTAAAAAGTGTCACACAGTAAACTTGCAAGAATTGCATTGCAAGCCTGTTGGAAATGTCTGACATGTAAACTCATAAAAACAAGTTTGAAGCATCACAAACAGTGTGACTTATGACTTCATGTTAGATATTTTATGTGTATTTTATCCTTGCAGACAGTCGTAGGTGAACTGTATGGACCATTGATGTTGGTATTCACTTTGATTACTGTGCTACTGTTTGGTATGAAGTCATCAGGACACACTGTGGTAAGCAATAATCACAATACCAACTACACTGTACGTTATTGAAAAAGAAAATATAGTATGCCCTTGTTGGGACTCAAGTCCTTGGTTTCATTGTACAATACGTTGAACAAAACACACTTCAAGTACCAACCACGCAACCAGACACGAGATGTAGAACAAATGTGGGGTCATTCCTATYCAAAATAACTTTTATTGTAATTGTATTTTATAAAAGAAATAAAAAAAGTTGCTTGCTGTGCTGTGTTGGGTTATAAAGCACTTGGGGATTGACAGAACACTCRAGAAGTGTCAAGAAGCACTCTGCTCTGTGTCGTGCTTCTCCTAACTTTTCTCTCGTGTTCTGCCAGCCCCTGCGTGCTTTATGACTGCACACAGCACGTGTGCGCTTTTTGTATTTCTTCAATACAACTCACATTATTGATTGTTACTGAGAGAGGAAAACCATAGAACCTGAAAAGAGTTGCCCCCTGTTAATTGGTCTTGTCATATTATTTGCAGCAAGAAGGCACGTTAATGGGCACAGCTTGTGGACTATGTTTTGGATACTGGTTTGGTGGTTCTGCCTTCTGCTATTGTGTGGCCTATTTCTGTAACACCCATCTAACCTTTCTTCAAATTCTTTCTTCAACTGTAAGTATTCATATTTTCTTACTTTTAGCCCAATAAAGGAACAACATCCGAAATCACAATTTTTTGTTTCAACCACATCAGAAATATTGGTATAAGTTGCAAACCTTTCTACAGGGTGTTTAAGTTTCCTTATCATTCACTTATTGTTTTCTTTTTTGATTTACAACTTTTATTGGGTATCAATTAGGAAGGAAAAATACAGAACCAACATGCTACCCAAAGCGAAAAGTGCGAAAGGTACTCTAGGTCCCATGCTAGGCATTTCCTTTTGACTAACGATATAAATCAATAGAGAATTGTCTTGGAAAATTAAACACAGTTAAAGTAGTAAAAACTGATAACAACAACAACACACCAAYGTAGTCTGAACTGGTAACTGGTAGTCAGTTTATTCAAATGATCTGATAATTTTCCGTTATTCATACTGCTTACAGTTAGTGAAATAATTATCAGGAAGGCATTTAAAATTTTCTTGTGATTCTCAGAGTATTCTATTCACGGCAGTCCCACAATGAGAAATGGAGAAGTAAACCTGGTCGAGCTCTACAAAGAACCAAAACAGTTAATGGGAGGGAGGGTGGAAATAAAGAAAACCAAGGAGAGCAACCTCAAGTCAGGGAAAAGGGCGCAGTTAGAAAGTACTAAAATACGGAAAGTGCACTGGAACAACCTTCGGCCTATGCAGCTTTAAAGTGCTTATAAGCCTTTGCACAATATTTTCAGAATTGATTCTTTAGATAGTGGATAGTTGATCGTGCAAATATTTCGTCATTTGAATGTCGGGTCTTTGAGATACGCAGGATTATGTTCCCAATATGTTAATGACTATGACGACACATAAGGGATCATTTAATATACGACACTGCACTTGTTCTGGAATACAGTATTTTAAAAGCATCACCCTTTTACTCGTGACTCACGTAAAGGTTCTTACAAATTTGTTTTCAAAAAATGTCCAGCGTTCAATATTAAAAGTTGCAACAAAATAACTCAAATCCCTTATGATACGTCATAGTCATTAACATATTGGAAATATAAACCTTCGTATCTTAAAGACCCAACATTCAAATGACGAATTATTTTCACAATCAACTATTCACTATTTAAAGAATCAGTTCTGAAAATATTGTGTAAAGGCTTATAAGCACTTTAATCCCAAGTGATTATGCTAAAACAATGGTTTCTCATTTTATTTATTTATTTATTAATTTAATCACTTTGCCGCAATTGCAGGGATAGAGTCACAGGGCTAAGCCCCAATTGCACGTGTACATGCGTACTAGTGTGATTGCCATGAAAAATCAATAAAAAAATATGTCTATAATTTATATAAATCATACAATTCATTGCTATTCTCTAGGGATATGCTCTGTTTGGTARTGTGCTATGTCTGTTCTTCACCACCATTGGCTATCATCATTCACATTCATTCTTCTATGCTCTCTGGATGATCTTTGGAGGACTTTCTGCTATGAAACTGGTAAGTTAAAATCTTAATTCTTTTCATGCTTCAGCAACATCCACAATTTTTGGACACCTGGACTTTGGCCTGTAGCAGGGGGAAGGGCCTACCCCAACCCCCCCTTCCCCCTTGGGATAATTTTGTCATATTGTATATTCATAGGAAAATTTAGTAATGAGGTGGCCAATGGCATCACTATGGACCTGCTACTGCTAAATGTACAGGCAATATCATACCATTGATTCCATTTTCAGGTCAGTGTATATGCAAGCAGAACATGGAATCGTCGCCATGGAATTATTGCTGGTTGTTTTGTTGCTGCATTGCATCTTTTGTTCCTTCTTTATCTTCATTTTGCATTTCACAGTGTTTATGAAGGTATGTAATAGAAATTGATCAGAAACGATGGTGATGAAGATGATAAACTTTTTGCAAATAGTCATGGACAGCATCACGATTATCATCCTCATTACCACCACCACCACCACCACCATCATCATCATTACCACTACAGCTACCATCATTATCATCATCATTACCACTACCACTACAGCTACCATCATTATCATTACGACCAACACCATAATTATCATCTTCATCATTACTAACACCACCATCATCAGCATCATGATCGCCACCACCACCACCACCATAATCATTACCAACGACACCTGCACCACCATCAACATCTCCATCATCCACCATTAACACTATCATCATCCACCATTAACATTATCATCATCAACATGATCACCACCATCATCATCATCATCATAATCACCACCACCACTCCACCATCATTATAATCATTACCAAAAAAACCTGCACCATGCACCATCAACATTACCACCACCATAATCATCATCATCTTCATCACCATTACCACGGACATAATCATGATCATGATCATCATGATCACCACCACCACTACCACTACCACCATCATCATAATCATTATCAACAACACCTGCACCACCATCAACATCTCCATCATCCACCATTAACATTATCATCATCATCATTTTTATGAATGATCATGAATGAATGGAAGAATAACCACTTTGAAGAAAGCATTTGTTAAAACATTTATTATTTTGTTTTGATGTTTCGCTATGTACATCATAGAACCCGGAGCAGTTCTTTCACGTCACACACGTGAAGTCTTCATCCCTACAATGGAATATAATATCGCTGCCACGCAACAAGTAATCACACAAAGATTGCCAAGAATAGATGTCGCTAGAGAAGTGTTTACCAGGGCAGCTAGAGTTGCAAGAAGCATTAATGACAGTAAGTCCTGAAAATCTTGTTTACCTGGTTTATAAAAATACATTTTAATTAGATAGACTTTAATGGACCTTGGTCATATGGCGCCATGTTTCCATGAGACCAAAAACCTCTGTTTACCCCGCATGACCTCGTCCTGAAACACTTGAATGAGAGGCTGCAAGGGAAAAAATATTGTTAAAGCTAAGATGGCTGCCGCATGAGAATGGTATATAGACCCCTTGCAGCAGGTCGGAATGCAGCTCAAGTTGGAGGACATAACAATAGGTGTCCAGATACTGCGCTTATCACTTGAGTAAGAAACGAGACAGTTTTGAGAGTTAAATTTTGCCGTCAAAACTACTATGTTGTTAGGGGCAACGGCATAAAATTATGACGTCGGTAATCTCGTAAAAACGCGCCAAAATGAACGTTACTCGACAAGGCAGAACATTTCAGAGAGGTCTTCCTCTTTCAGAAGATTTGAAAACCTCGATCATTGATGGAACTGACTAGTACGTTCATTTTGGCGCATGTTGCATGCCGCTGTAAAGCACGCTGAGATTGGCAGAACATGAGAGAAGTGTTAGGAGAAGCAAAACCACGTGTTAAATCTTTGGGCACTCTTTCTGCTTCTCGACCTTACATGTCGCTCATGAATGAAGCACCCATAACAATGTTGCTCATAAACTATTTCCGTCCGCATGACGCATGTCTTTGAGCCATTACTTTACGAATCCACTAACATTTTTCTGTTATTTTGATTCCTAGCTGTTATTGCAACGCCAGTGTTCTCAATGTGATGGAAGAATACCATAACGACTGAGAAGTGGAACTTGTCAGCACTCAATGGGAAAATAGTTGCTTTAATATAGAAAAAATATTCTAAAAATTCTTTATTTTAATCCTCATCATTGAATCCGGCCGACCACATGCATAATCAGGAGTAGTACTAGAAGACTATTAGTATAAGACTTAGCGTTAAGCGTTATTCATGGTTGTCGTGGCAATTTGATCGGGAAATGAACTGATGCAACTCGCTTTGCTAATTTTTAGACTGTAATTAGCTATAGATGAGGGGAACAGTACTATTCCGTCTGTCAGTACAAGTAAAATTATTAGCATTGACGGCCTGTAATGGAGCATTTTTAGCTCACAATCTCAAAAGAAATCCATTTTGCGAATGTGTTCTTAATTCAAGCCATAGATGCAGTACTTTTCAATCACTTACTTTACCTAACGAAGGATTGAACATGGTGATATCAACACTGAATGGTGTACCATAAAAGGTACCAGAAATAGGGCAAAGAAGAACATTTGAAATATTTTTTTCTTGTTTTGGGGTTGGAGGTGGGGTGGGGGAGCACTGAAATATAGCTATTTCCAAAATGTTGTTTGGAGTTCTGAATATTGCATAGTGAATTGCGGCCGATAACCAGGTAGAAATCTAAAATTAAATGGCGTAAGGGATGGACAAAAAGGATTTCTGTATTATGTAAGGAAAGAGACGTGGTCTTCAACATTACGAACCTGCTGGGTCAACCGACTGTAGTTTATTGCTATACTAGGGCCACATCTTAGAGTGCTGTAAAGTTTTAAAATGCCTGTAAAATATTAGCTCGGGAAACCCCTCAAAATGGGATAAATTGATTTAATAAAGATATCTAATATTTGAATAATCATACAGTAATGAGTATTTATTGAAAATTTGCTTCCTCATGTAGTAATCAGTGTTTCATTTGATGACAAATAAACTCAAATGCCTCCTATGACATCACAGTCATTCAGACATATTGAAACTATATAAACCTTGATGTCTTCAAGGTGCATGAAAATCATGTATAAATATTTTACCATTCAACTATTCACTTCATGCAGAAATAATAATAATAATGATAATAACAATATTAATAATAATAATAATAATATTGAGTTAGGGGTGGGGGCACGTTTTAAAGAGGCCGAATTAAATTCTGATCTTGTGCATTGGTTCTTAAATAATTTTGCATAAATTGTCCAGTGTGAATTCATGGTATGATTTTTCTGTTTTCTTAATCAGTTCCCATGAATTTATGTAACACCAGTTTGAATAGCAAGTTGATTTAACCTTGGTGTGATTTGACGTATGACACGCAGCGGAACGAAAGTTAGTGAAGCGTTGCGTGACGACCCTAAATATACTTAGGAAGGCTAGGAGGACGGAAATGACATGAAGATGGCTCTTTCTCCCTAAAGAAACTAGTTTCTTTGCGCCTTAAAAAATGGCAGCTGAATATGAAATCAAGGTATTACTACAAAGTAAGTAACTTTGTGTATCGCGATTCACTAAGTAGTTTCTTATATTTTTGAGAAGAAAATATTTTGTGGTATTGTCGTTTCAAAATTAAAAGGTTTCTGATTGGCTAACGCGCGACGAAAAGGGAAGCTTGAGCGCACACGCGTCAAATTTTTACGCTTGTTGGTTTAGCGCAAGCTCGTGAGGAGAATTTCGCTTATAATCAAAGAAAATCGGTTAGTTTTTTTCCTCCTTCGTGTGTTAAATTCTTTGGAATCGCGATACCAAATTAATTACGATTTTGAGACCACAATACCACGAAATATTGACGGCGTTGGAAGAAAAAATATTCAATATTGGGCTCCATCGCCTCGTGACTCCGCCCAATATCGAATATATTTTCTCCCAACTAGCCGTTAAAATATTTCGTGGAATTGTCTCAAAATCGCAATTACTTTATATAATTTTGGCCCTTCATTTCTTCATATAATCGACTTGAAGCCAAGACGTCAACAGTGCACAAAATATACTTATGAAAATACTGAATGTGAAATCAAGGTATTACTACAAAGTAAGTAGCTGTGTTAATTGTCGTCCTTAATTTCTTCATATAATCGACTTGAAGCCAAGACGTCAGCAAAATATAAACATTTCAACGCCAGTCAGAATACCGACTTAGTATTTTTGAATAACGATAGCGAAAAACTACCKAGTTCGCAGAATATCGAAAGCAAAATAATTCAGTTTAAGAATTGAGTGCTATACCTTTTTCTAATTTACTGTTTGTAATCCAAAAATTATGTCCGATTCATCGAGCATGAATGCCCAGAATCAAAAGAACTGGTATTTCAAACACGCTACATTTCTACCATACCGTAGGTCGTACGCTTCGCCGCTTTCCACGTATTTGTTGTAAATGCATTCTAGAACACTTTTAACTTAGCCTCTAATGATAAAGTGCATCCAGTCAAACTGTTGAATAGTGTACGTCACCTAAATTAGATAAGTACTGTTACTATTTTAGCTGACGTCACCTAAATTTGAAACTACCAGTAAACCGCTACTGAGATCAGGGGGAGAAACGATGATACAAACGAATGTCTATTCACTCATTCTTTTGTAAAACAACCTCCCGGATTAGCATGACCGTTATTTATATTTTATAACTGCAAGTATGCGTTTTCTAACAAGAGTGTATTATATTTAACACATGAAGACACATCAGATTCATTGAGGATCTGTTGGAATACAGTAAAAACCCGCGAGTAAGAACCTGAAAATTAAGAACCCCACCTAATAATGATCTTGCTAACTCGGAACATCGCGATCTTAAATGGATTAATTTACATGAAGTGGGAATAAAAATCCTAGGTATTTATTTTTCTCATAACAGAGCGTATTATGATATAGATAATTATGAAAGAATATTTGAACACGTCAAAACTATTTTTAACTATCTGGAAAGGCAGATCATTGACTCCTATATTGGGAAAATCCAGGTGGTTAATTCTTTAGGTCTTTAGGCTAATGTATGGAACTTACAAGTTTTGGAGAGTTTTAGGGAAGCACCGGTGGCATGCGCTGCTAATGCGCGGCCTTTCACCAATGCGGCCCGAGTTCGAGTCCTGGTGATCTCGATGTCGTATGTGAGTAGAGTTGTTTGTTGGTTCTCTCCTGTGCTTCGAGGGGTTTTCTCCGGGTCCTCCGGTTTTCCTCCCTCCTCAAAAGTCAGCTACCAAAATCAGCTAACAAATTCTAATTCGATCTTTGGGCTTTCACTTACTTTCACTTAGTTTGGAGCCTAGCTCTATTGTGATTGTCCCACGCTGTGATTCAACAGCGAAGAGTTAGTAAATTACCACCCTTAAAAGAGCTAAAGCCGATGGGAGGAATTGAATGTATTCAAGAAAATTTCGATGTTAGTAAAATACCTAGTGACGTGTCAAAATTTTATTCTAAAGCCCTTAGGGCCTGAGCTGAATTAAGTTATACAAAGATAGACGATAATAATGTGGAAAGCATCCTGAAACAATCACTGTGGAATAACATTTTTATAAAGTTTACCTGTGATGTAAAGTGTATGTAGCGCGTTGACTGAATTGTAATATTAGACGTGAATGACATTTGGAACCCAAATACTGGTTTTAGGTGGGAGGATGTGGTGGAATAGGGTCTTTCAAACAAGGATTGGTTAACTTGGATGGGGATTATAAAGGCTTTAGCAGCCAGCACCTTGGATTAAAACACTGAAAAGAAATCTCCACTGTCCAATTGGGGCACTTACTCTTACTAGAAAAATTAAAGTTTTCGAACAGTCTATCGAATTAATTAAAGTAAAACTTGGCAAATATATCAAAGTATTATAAGTAAGAAATTTGAACCTCYTGCGGCTAAACGTAGGTGGCAATTAATTTTGCATGATAGAGATTGTTTGATTGGAAAAAAGTATTAATAATATAATAATATTTCTTTCTTTCGACAGGAAACCTATGTCACATTAGTGATTTACAATAGGGAACTGCATTAAGAAATATACAAGTAAAATAATTTAAAAAAAACGATATGTAAAAGACAATAAAGAAAAAATATATAAATTAATTAATTAATAATGGATAAATAAATAAAAAGTAAAAATAAAAGTATATGTAAGTATATAATATATAATATATGTATATATATAATTTTAACCTAAAAATTAGCTTCTAATCAAAAAAGAACATTTTAGTGCTCTTTTAAATTTTCTTAAAGACGAAAGTAATTTAATGTCATTAGGTAAGGAGTTCCAACTTTGAACGCAGGAATTCTGAGATGTTTGTAGGCCCCAGTTTGTGTTGTATTTAACTGTTCTATTTGCGACAGTATTTACACAACTACTATAGATACATAACTTAGGTGGTTTCAATATAGGAATTTGACAAACTGTTTATATGTATTTTTGTTTTATTCCATTATTTAATTAAGCATCTCTTCGCTTCAAAAACTCATTGAAAATTCATGAAGGGAACACAATAGAAATCATGGCCATGAAGGTGATTTTGTATCTGATATAGATTCGTCTTCATTTGCATAAACTTTAACTTGGATTTTCTCTATCAAACTTGGTTCATTTCGTAAAGAATTCAGTAAAATATGAGAACATCATCATTAGTTTTTGAAGCCGTTCAATAAACTCGGCTACGCCTCGTGTTATTAAATCCTAATAAAACACTCCTGCGAGTTTATTAAACAGTACATAGAGTGTTGCGTTTCAGTTTTGCTTCATATAATGCTTTTTGTCTGTGTGCACAGAGATTTCAAAATTAACATAACAGCCACCAATTCAGAGCTATACATAAATAGGTTTTAATAAACCAGTTAGTGCATTTCAGGGTATTTTGTACTATCACATAATTCTTTTGCTTTCTATTGTTTTAGTCTGATTATCAAAGTTGAATACGCACATTTTTTTGCGACTTTGTGAGAATCATTCTAGCGCAACACAAACAAAGTTTTGTTATTTGAAAACCATATTTTCATTCCATGCATGCTAATGAGAGTTTGTGAAGGCTTTGTTTCGTTGTTTAAGATTCCGTGACCTAGAAAACCGAACATCTAAAACCGCGATTTTTTTCCTTATTTCCGAGGTGATCATTGTATTACAAAGTACTCATGTCACTCGGGAAATTAGTGATTAAATTTCCCCGACACCTCGGGAAAATTTGTAAAAGCCCCTTGGGCTGCCCCCTCGGGACTTCCACAAATTTTCCCTCGTTATTCGGGGAAATGTAATCACTATTTTCCCTTGTGCCATGGTATTACTTATAGGTGTATCTGCCCACTTCAATCTGAAGACAGTGATCGCTGATTTCCGTAAGACTTATTCTATGTTTGATGTTGCTAACTCCTCTCAGATATTCTTCTGGTTTATAGTCTGTTTTAAACCTTCTATACGCTCTCAATTTATTTTTTCGTGAATCTCATCTTTTGTCCTTCGTCGTTATATAAGTCTCCAAGCCAAATTTGAAATTCCTAATCTTCGATTCTTTGTTTGATGAGTTTTGTTACGGATATCCAGTTAATCTATGGATAAAAATAGTCCCCCCCCCTCTCCCCACAGATAAGTATGACTGGGACATTCTAATCATCCTGAGGGGAAGAAGAGATCCGTGACTTCAAGTTCGCTCGCTCGTTCGTTTGTTCGTTCGTTCACTAGATCGTTCGTTCGTTCGCTCTTTCGCTCGTTCGTTTATTCGTTCGTTCGCTCGTTTTAAATAGAGAGGTTTAGCATGACGTTTACCGAGAGAAATCGCGAACCACTAACCGCAGCTTGAAGTCAGCGGTTTGCGGTTCGAAGTATAGATTTTTTGAGGGGTTTAGCAAATCGTATTTTACATACGACAAAAACCTGAGGATTGTGGGTATTTTTCTCAAGAACACGGCGGCTGCTGCAAGGTCGGTAAAGTCATATTTCAGATATTTCTTTATTCTGACTATTTCCTTTCATTTGAAGAGAGCAAGCTAAATTTCAATCTGATTAAAAACAAAACAATCACAGAGTCATATATCTAACAATTAATTGAATATATCCTTATTTTCATACAATTTATGTCTAAACTCATTTAGTATAATTGGAGAGTAAATTAAAGACCAGACGAGGCTTTTATATAAATTAAAAAGGTCAAGAAAACTTTGTAAACAAATTTTAGCGTACCTTTTCAGTGATATTTTTCTTCATCCTTATACTTTTCGATAATTCTTTCCAATCTTTCTCTGCATGCACGACCCATGAGGCTTACTGGCTTTTCCTCTGTAGAAAATATAGGAGATAGCTTCTTTGCTATATTTTCACATTCACTGGGTTTGCTTGGCTTTAGGCCCCGTCCACACGTATCCAGAAATTTTTGTATCCGCAATTTTTTTTTTTTTTTTTGCGGATACGGGTTGCGTCCACACGTTGCGCAAATTCTTGTGTCCGTATCCGCAAATTTTACGAAAACGGATGCGTGTGGACGGTGAAAACGATTCGAATACGCTGCGCGTGGACGCAAACATTTTCGTATCCGCAAAAAATAATTTGCGGATACAAAAATTTCCGGATACGTGTGGACGGGGCCTTAGACTTGCGACTTCGGTCAGGCAAGTGCAATATCTTGACTAATTGAAAACGATCATGCCAACCAAAAGGCATGATTTCTAGTAAATAAAGGTACTCAATTCAGACATACATATCTGCAAATAGCTAAATTATCTAAAAAGCAGGCTATATTATGGACTCTTTCACTGAAARTACAAAAAGAGCGATTTGTTTTGCCAGTCTGCCAACGAGCATGGAGAGCGTCATGTTTGATTTTCATTCATGACTATATGCCTTCAATTAAATTTACTGTGTCTCTTCAAAAATAAAAAAAGTAACAAAAAATGCAACCCTCAATCCCTTATGTATTAAATCACTTTACAAATAACACTTTACGTCAGTTCTCCTACTACGAAAGATAAAAAAT